CGGCCCCCCCCTTCACCCCCCTAGGACTGATCACAGTGTTAGAAAAAAAAAGCCCACCAGCCACCGACACACCCCGAAAAAACAAATCACCCCCCCCCGAGGCCTCCACACGGCTGCTGGGAGAGCTGACCCCCCCCTCCCACCCCACCCCACCCCACTTCCCTTCAACTCATCCCCGAGCTTCAAAAAGCCGCACGGTCCCACAACACCCTTTCCCTCTGGAAACACAATCTCTCAGGGCCTGGCCCCCCACACCCACCTCCCCGACACACCCCAATATTCAGGGCCCAGAAGGTCACGCCCAGAGGGTCCCCCCCCCGCCACCCTCCATCCCTGCTCGTGGCCATCCCCGCGCCCTTCAGGCGAGCCAGGCCGGCCGCCGCCCTTCCCGGCCCGGGGCGGGCCCTGAGGGAGAGAGGGGGGGGTGGTCTCGAGCGGCCCACCCGGGTGTGAGGGAAGGGGGGGGAAAGAAGCTTCGAGAAGCCCACCTCCACCACCACCACCACCACCGCACGCACACACCCTCGACTGTGTAGAGAAGCCACCCCTCAAATCTCGGCCCGCTATCCTCACCGGTCGTGGCCGAGCCGCAGCAGGAACCTCAGCCACAGTCACAGCCCGACGGGAGCCGGGAGAAGGCCGGGAGGAGCCGAGAGTCCGAGGCGCAGCGGGCGAGGGGCGGGGCACACACAGGGAGGTGGCCGCTTCCTCGTCGCCCTTTGAAGGCCGGCGCGTGGGGCGGGACGTCGCCACCTCCTACCCAGAGGGCGCCGCCACTTCCAACCAATAGGCGTAGCCGAGGGGCGGGCCGAAAGGGGAGGAGAGGGTCGCCGCCAACCAATGAACTCTGCGCTCGGCACCGTGACCCTTCTCTGTGGAAGCGCGCGAGCGGCGGGCGGTTGACGGCGGCGGCGGCGGAGGAGGTGCGTGTGTGTTGCTCCGCGGGTTCCGGACCGGCGTCTCCCGGTGTAGAAAGGCTTCAGCGAGTTGCAGGCTTCACTTGCCTGTTTCCAGGGTTCTTCGGTGACAAACCCGGCCCTCTTAAGGATTTTTTTTTTCCCGAGGGCTCGGAGGCGGGAAAGTCTGCGAGTGTTGGAGGCCGGCGCCTTGCCAGGCCGGCCGGGGTCGGGCCGAGGCCTCTCCCGCCCAGCTGGTGGGCCTCTATGATGTAACCTGGGCGGGGCAGGGGGCGGGGCCTCGAACGCCGGCCAGCTGTTCACTGGCAGGAACCCCGGGAAAGTGGAGGCGGGACGGTGAGGTCAGACTGGAGGACTCGACTCTGGGGAGGGGCGAGAAGGAAGGGGGGGGGTAAAACCTTCTCCAGAGCCCCGCTGCCGCCTCCAGCCCTTCTTAAAACGTGGCTATTACGAATTGAGATGTGTTGATTATATATATATATATACACACATATATATATGTAGATCAAACACATACTATGTAGCAGAGATTTAGTCTGAAAAAGAACAAAAAAGAAAATAAGAAAATAACTCAGATAATAACGCTGATTTGATTGCAGAATTCATTCGTTTGGAGTATATGCGTTTACGAGAAGTAGATGTAGGGGCTGGGAAGGTGGGCTCAGTGGTAGAGCGCTTGCCTTGCATGCATGAGGCCCTGGGTTCGATTCCTCAGCACCACCTAAACAGAAAAAGTGGAAGCCTTGAGGTGAAGAGCTTAGGGACAGCGCCCAGGCCCATAGTTCAAGCCTCAAAACCAACAACAACAACAAAAAAAAGAAGTAGCACTGTAGTAAGAGTACTATCTTTGAGCAAAAGCAGCTCAGGGAGAGTGCCCAGGCCCTGATTTCAAGCCCCAGTACTAGCACAAAATGATAATAATTTTGTTTTGTAGCTTTCTTAAATGTGGCTACTAGAAAACGTCAGTTCACATACTGATAGCACTGGGCCAGATGAATAGTGAAACATAATCCGTATTGAATGCAACTATGTTCAGGTACGTGACACCAACTCATTTAATCATCTTAACAATCCTAAATGATAGGTAGTGTGTTCTCATTCCCATTTTGCAAATGAGCAAACTAGTTTAGTAACAATCTAATGTCAGCAAAACAGTGTTTAGCTACTGCAGCTGTAACTCAGAACCAAATACTGAGACTAAATACTATTCCAGAAAGAACACTGGACTCGGTTAGAATGTCCAACTTTGGTGCTTTCTAGCTATATAGCCTTAAGGAATCAAAGCTTCAAATGCCTCATTTATAAAAAATAAACAATCTTCCTCATAGCTTCATTAAGTGAATGACCTATAGATAGCTTACTTACATAGTTAAAATGGACTCTAGGCTGAGCACCTGTGGCTCATGCCCTTAATCCTAGCTACCCAAGAGGCTGAGTTCTGAGGATATTGGTTCAAAGTCAGCCTAGGCAGGAAAGTCCAAGGGACTTATCTCCAATAGACCACCAGAAAAAAGCCAGTGAAAGAGCTGTAGCTTAAGTGGTAGACCACTTAGCCTTTAGCGAAAAACCTATGAGCCAGCACCTAAGCCCTGAGTTCAAACTCCCAGTATCAGCACACACACACAGACACACAATAAGAATAGAAGATCAGAGAAGCTGGGTATGGTGGTACACATCTTTAATCAAAGCACTTGGGAAGCTGAGGGAAGAGAATTTAAGTTTAAGACCAACTTGGTGGAAGTGGCTCTGTGGCTCAAGTGGTAGAGTGCCAGCCTTAAGCACAAAGAGGCTCAAGGACAGCACCCAGGCCCTGAATTTAAGCCCCAGAACTGGGGCTTTAAAAAAAAAGACCCAGCCTGGTGCTGGTGGCTCATGCCTATAATCCTAGCTACTCAGGAGGCTGAGATTTGAGGATTGCAGTTCAGAATCAGCCCAGGCAGGAAAGTCCCTGAGACTCTTATCTCCAATAAGCCACCAAAAACTCAAAAGTGGTGGTAGAGCTCTAGCCTTGAGTTGAAGAGCTGAGGGACAGCACCCAGGCCCAGAGTTCAAGCCCCATGACTGACAGGGGAAAAAAAAAAAAAAAGGCTGGGAAGTTGGCTCAGGGGTAGAGTGCTTTCCTTGCGTGCATGAGGCGCTGGGTTCAATCCTTCAGTACCACATAAGCAGAAAAAGCCAGAAGTGGCGCTGTGGCTCAAGTGGTAGAGCACTAGCCTTTAGCTGAAGAGCTGAGGGACAACCCAGGACCAGAGTTCAAGCCCCACAACTGACAAAAAGACCAGCCTGGGCTACATAGCTAGGATATCACTATATATATATATATATGTATATCACTATATATATATATATAGTGATATACATATAGTGATAGCCTATATATGTATATATGTGTGTATAAAGTTATGAATTGGGAGCCCTAGAAAAAATTAGTATGTACTGATGGTGATAGGTGACCATTACAGATTATCTGACAGCTCATTATCTCAGAATTAGTCAACTTACGGGCCTAAATAAGAAGTCAGCATCTTGATAAGCACCTGTTAGAGAATCATCATTGTCACCACAGCCTTAGACCAAGTTTTTCCTTCCCTCAGATCTACCAGATGGTCCTTCTGCCTCAGAAATGGCTTCATCAAAACTGGTAATATTCGGCTGGGAATGTGGCTTAGCAGTAGAGCGCTTGCCTACCATGCACAAAGTCCTGAGTTGGATTCCTCCGTACCACATAAACAGAAAAAGCCAGAAGTGGGGCTGTGGCTCAAGTGGTAGAGTGCTAGCCTTGAGCAAAGAAGCAGCTCAGGAACAGTGTTCAGGCCCTGAGTATAAGCCCCAGGACTAACAAAACACAATTACTGGTACTGTTCAGGTTTGATCAGTATTTGATGCTCATGTGAGGCCTCAATGTACTTTTTTTTTTTTTGGGGTCCAGTTGTGGGGCCTGAACTCTGGGCCTGGGCGCTGTCCCTCAGCTCTTCAGCTCAAGGCTAGCACTCTACCACTTGAGACACAGCGCCGCTTCCGGCTTTTTTCTTATGTGGTGCTGAGGAATCGAACCCAGGGCCTTGAGCATGCAAGGCAAGTGCTCTACCACTGAGCCACCTTCCCAGCCCTCAATGCACTCTTGCATCTTTTATTTTTTCACTATTGGGGTTTGAAACCAATCCTCTCACGTGCTAAACACATGTTTTACCATCCAACTACACTTTTTTTTTCTTTTTCTTTTTTTGGTCGTCCGTGGAACTTGAACTCTGGGCCTAGGCACTGTCTCTCAGCTCTTCAGCTCAAGGCTAGCGTTCTACTGCTTGAGCCACAATACCATTTCTGGATTTTTTTTGCTTATATGGTGCTGAGGAATTGAACCCATGAATGCAAAACAAGCACTTTACCACTGAGCCACCTTCCCAGCCTCTCCAGCTACACTTTCATCCACTTTTTTCCCTCTCAAAATGGTGCATCATGACACTGCAGGAAACAGGATGATCTGACTAAAGTGCCCCCTGCTACCTTTTTGCTTTGGTGACTAAACACATAAGACATTCAGCAGTCCAGGCTTTGTTCCAGCTGGTGACTGGATCCCACTAGATGGTGCTTTCAGGAAGCCAAAGTCCACTTTCCTGGAACATGGTAGTAAAGCAGCCATCTTAAGATAATTAGGTCAAAGCCAGGTACCAGTGGCTGGTGCCTGTAATCCTAGCTACTCAGGAGGCTGAGATCTGAGGATCACAATTCAAAGCCAGCCCATGCAGAAAAGTATGTGAGACTTATCTCCAATTCATCACCAGGAAACTGGAAGTGGCACTGTTGCTCAAGTGGTGAACTGAAGAGCTGAGGGACAGCACCCAGGCCCACAGTTCAAGCTCCACAACCAAGGAAAAAAAAAAGCTAGACGTGGTGCTATGGGTTAAGTGGTAGAGCCCTATCCTTGAGCACAAAGAGGCACAGGGTCAGTACCCAAGCCCTGAGTGTAAGCCCCAAGACCAGCAAAAATTAAAACAAACCATCATCAATCAACAAATCTTATAAGGACTTGAACTCAAGGCCTGTCAGTTTGACTTAGGACTACTGTTGTACCAATTGAGCCATACCTCCACTTTCTTCTCTATGCTGGTTAATTGAATTTAGGAGTTTCATGAACTTTTCTGCCCAGGTTGTATTCCAACTGTGATCTTCAGATCTCAGCCTCTAGAGTTGGTGAGACTGCAGACATGAGCCATTAGCACTGGTGTATGTGTGTGTGTGCACACGCGTGAGCGTGCACATGCCTGTGTGCGAATATAAACTCAAATTAAGTCTTGCTAAGTGTCAAACCCATGAGCCTATACACCCTATTCTACCATTTGCATCTGAAGATCCAATAAACCACACAGAAAACGGGAAGTGGCCCATTGGCTCATGTGGTAGAGCACTTGCCTTGAGCTGAAGAGCACAGGGACAGCACCCAAGCCCAGAGTTCAAATCTCACTACAAAAAAAAAAAAAAAAAGAATGGAAGCCTGGAGAACAATGAGGTCAAACAAAGAAATTTTCCCATGAAGAACCTGGGGTACAGATAGGGGAAGGTGGCAAGAGCAGGCCTTGAAAGCAGTTCCTTAACTCACAGTATGTTCGTTCTGGAGTTACATCTCTTGATGGTGGCTCCAAGCCAGAAGGGAGGTCCATGGACCGCCCAGAGCTTCAAAAGGGAACAAGATGTCTTGGAGGGAGATTAGAATTCCCAGAGAACTGGAGATTAGAACAAAACTTGTGATTTACCTCT